AAGAGAGATTTTTCTTTGTAAAGCCCCAGGATCCCGACCATCCTTTTAGCCCGAGGTGGGAGATTCCTAGTAAGGATATGTTTAATGAGGGTCAGGCGTATTTTGAGGTTCTAGAGAGTGACAGATTAAGGTTAGTTAACCAAGACCCCTTGGCAGAGAAGATTGATTATTTGCTCGAGGATGACACCCTCGACCTTGCAAATGTAAAAGGCCTTGAGGGTATGTCTTTTACTTTTTAAGCTCTATCGTCATATTCTTGATGTCGAGATCATGCTAATGCCTTGTGATTTGTTTCTTGTAGATCTAGAGATGTCTTTTGATCTTTCCAAATTGTTGGCCAATGTCCACCATAAGCCTAAGGGGCCGATGTCCAAAGCCCCGGCCTCAAAAAATGGGAAGAAGAGGGCCAGGCACGGCAATGTTAGGGTGCCTGAAGTGCATCTTGAGAGCCCGGTGCCTCCTAGGGGTTAACCTTCGACGTCAAGCAGCCCGACCTCAACGCCTCATACGAAGTCGAAATATGAAGATCGAGCTCGGGGCTGTTATGGCGTCACGGATTTAGGCTTCGAGCCTGTTTCAGATAGTTCCCTCGAGGAATACACGGAGTGTGCCGTGGTGAAGGACCTTGTCGAAAGGTTAGAGAAGAAGGGCAACATCAATGAAGGGGTTAAGACACTAGAGGCTTTGACCTTAAGGGTAAGATACGACCTTAACTGTATTTTTTATTTTTTAATCTTCTTCGATCGAACTGACTTCGGACTTCCTTTCCTTCTTTGTGCAGACGCTGAGTGTGGCGCGAGGTCTTACTTTGAATGGTATCAACATCTCGAACGAAATGGGCGAGGTTTTAAAGGAAAAAGAGCGAGCTGAAAAGTGAGCTCGTGACCTGGAAACGGCTCTCAAGACTACTGAGACTGACCTCAAGAGGTCCCGAGAGGAACTGGAGACATCCAAGGTTGAGGTCGAGGAAGTTAAGCTCGAGCTTCTCCAGTCCCAGAGGAGCTTTGGGGAACAGCTGGCAAAGGCTCGTGATGAGGCTCAAGCTCAGGCTGTTGAAGACTTCGAGAAGTCCGACGAGTTTGGGACCCTGTTGGGATAGTACAGGTCGGGCTCTTACCAGAACGGGCTTCGCCTTGCCCGTTCTTATCTTCGCACGAAGATGCCTGAGGATTTAAAGTCCTTCGTCGAGGACTTGAAGACAGTGAACGAGCTCGCAGGGGAGCTCGAACTTTCGGCTTCTAAAGTCGAGGACGATGGTGAAGAGGATGATGATGATGGTGATGGAGATGACGCCGGGATTGGCGATCAAGGAGATGATGTCAGGGTTGTAGATATCGATTAAGTTTTTAACTTTGTTTTAAAATTTTTGGTAATATTGCCCGAACTGGGCTAATACTTTTGTTATTAATTTCATCGACCAATGTTCGCGCACATTCCTTTGTTTTTAATTTAACTGATGAATGTTCGTGCACACTACTTTGTTTTTAATTTAATTGATAAATGTTCGTGCACACTACTTTGTTTTTAATTTAATTGATGAATGTTCGTGCACACTACTATTTTTCATTTAATCGATGAATGTTCGTGCACATGTGTTCTGTTTCTTTTCAATGCACAACACAAACACAACGCTTTTGGACTCGATCAACGCTTTGGTGCTGAACATCAGGCATGCACGAGCTCGATTCTTGATGTTGTCATTGGGCCCACAGGTCGAACTAGATGATGAGTTCAACCTTTTTAGTTGCTATAACTTGGGCCTTTTTTAGCTCGGGGTGTCTTGTGTGGAAGGCACGGGGCTCAATTCGATCAACATTTTGACCTTAAACACCAGGCATGTCTTAGCTCGATTCTTGATGTAGTTGTCGAGGTCGAACTTAGGGGCCTGTAAGTCAATTTAGATGATGAGTCCGAGGTCGGGTTCGATCTTTATCATGTGAATAGGCCCGACCCCGAACTTATCCGATATTGATTTTAGATGCAAAATAGTTCGGGGTTCATGACCTCGGGTTGTATTATGCTGCATGCCTATAGCACGCCGTTAATGTTGAAGAGTTGGCTGGATGCCCGCACGTCATTATGCCAGAGTTATTAGTTGTATGCCCATAGCACGTCATTATACTAATGTTAAAGTGGCTGCATGCTCGAAGCACGTCATTATGCCAAAGTTATTAGTTGCATGCCCATAGCACGTCATTACACTAATGTTAAAGTGGCTGCGTGCCCGAAGCACGTCATTATGTCAAAGTTTATTAGTTGCATGCCCGTAGCACGTCATTACACTAATGTTGAAGAGTTGACTGCATGCCCGAAGCACGTCGTTACGCCAAAGTTTAAGTAGTGCTAGGAAAAGAAAACTTTGAATATTATTAGGTGCTCAAGGGTACTTAGCCCAAGCTACTTGAAAGCAAAAAATGCTCAAGGGTTCATAGACCCGAGCTACTAAAAACGAAAATAAGGCGGGCGTGCAAGCCCTTGTGTGACGCTATTGCTATTCTACTTGTAATATATTTTTAGGTTATCCACATTCTAAGGCCTCGGGAGTGGATTTCCTGAAGTATCTCTAAGGCTGTATGCTCCTTCTTTGATCCTTCGTATGACTTCGAATGACCCTTCCCATACTGGTCCAAGTTTACCTGGAGGGTGTCCAGCTGCCTCTGTTCTTCTTAGAACCAAATCGCCGCTCTTAAATTCTCGGGACTTGACTTTGGTGTTAAAGTACTTTGTCGTTTTATTTTGGTAACTAGCAGCTCTCAGTGAAGCTTGCTCTCTTACTTCTTCAAGTAAGTCAAGATGTTCGGTTGTTCGGTCTTCCATGCCGGGTTCAGCCCTCCTTAAAGTGGGGAGACTGACTTTGATGGGGATAGTGGCCTCTAAGCCGAAAGCTAACATGAAAGCAGTCTCCCCTGTTGCTATTTTATGAAAAGTTCTATATGCCCACAGTATAGAGGGTAACTCATCGGGCCAGTCACCTCTTGTGTTTCCAATCCTGTGCGAAGGTCCTGAAGTATGATCCTATTTGTCACCTAAGCGAGGCCATTGCTTTGAGGTTAAGATACTGACGTCAGACGATGATCGATACTAAGATTGACACAGAAGTTTCTAAATTGTGAATTGTCGAACTGCCTTCCATTGTCTGTTATAAGTACTTTGGGTATTCCAAACCTACATATAATCGACTTCCATATAAATGATCTGAGCTTGGCCTATGATATTTTTGCTAGGGGTTCGGCTTCTACCCACTTTGTGAAGTACTCAACTACTGCTACAACAAATTTTAATTGTCCTCGGGCCATGGGGAAGGCCCAAGGATGTCAACTCCCCATTGTTCAAATGGTGCTGAATAATGGATAGAAGTCAACTCTTCTGCAAGGGCATGTATAGCATTACCAAACATCTGACACTTGTCGCATCTTTTGAGATATTCAGCTGCATCTTTTTTTATAGTTGGCCAGTAGTACCCATACCTTATTAATTTGTAGGCAAGGGCCCGGCTCCCTGGTGATTTCCGCATATTCCCTCGTAAACCTCAGTCAGGGCTTGGAGAGACTTGGAAGGCTTGAGGCATCTCAGATAGGGGAGTGTGAGACTTCGTTGAAACAGCACCCCTCTGATAATGCAATACCTAGCAGCTTTGGCCGGAATACTTATTGCGGCGCGAGGGTCAGGAGGTAGGTCTCCATTACTTATATACTCAGCTATTGGATCAATCCAGGAAGGCTCATGGTCAATGTCCATGACACTTGACTTCGTGTTTATGCTAGGCTCTGTGACAATCTTGATGTGCACTGTTCTGTCGAGTCCATCTATCCTCATGAAAACAAGTCTGGATAGTGCGTCAGCTTTGGAGTTATCTGCTCTTGCTATTTTCAATATTTCACAACTTATGAACTATCTTTGAAGGTCATGCACTTTTAGACAGTACAAGCTCATCTTTTTATCTTTTCTTTCAAAGGATCCTTTGATCTGTCCAACAATGAGCTGTGAGTCGCTGAAGACTCTGATGTGCTCTAATTCCAAATTCCTGGCAAGTTCGAGAGCAATAACCACAACTTCATATTCCACTTCGTTGTTGGTTGCTTCAAACTCAAACATAAGCGCACATTGAACTTCAGTGGTCTTGTCCGGGCTGATGATAATTATCCCAGCCCCCGAGCTCGAACTATTCGACGCCACATCAACAAATATCTCCCAGGTTTTTGAGGTCGTGCTCGGGTTTTTTACTTCGGGCCTTTCTGTCTTTGGAGTGAGTTCAGCTATGATGTAGGCCAGTGCCTGCGCTTGATGGAAGGTTGAGATTTGAATTCTATGTCGAACTCGCCAAGCTTGATCACCCATTTTAATAGCCTTCCTGAGACATCTGGCCTCTGAAGTATGTGCTTGAGTGGTTGATTGGTGAGAACTATTACGGGGTGAGATTGGAAATATTGCCGTAACTTTCTAGCAGTTACTATCAAGGCAAGAGCTAACTGTTCTGCAAGGTTATACCGAGTGTCAGTGTCAAGAAGTACTTTACTAACATAGTAGATAGGTTGTTGCACCTTTCCTTTTTCCTTTACTAGTACCCTACTTACGGCATTTCGAGAAACAGCCAAGTAAAGGAACAAAGTATCACCAGGCTCTGGTTTGGCAAGAGCCGGAGGTACAGCTAAAGTTAGCTTAAGTTGTTGGAAGGCTAGATTGCATTCATCATTCCATTCAGAACTCTTGTGGCCTCTTAGAACTTTGAAAAAGGGAAAACATCTATCCGCTGCCTGAGAGACAAATCTGTTCAATGCTGCTACCTGACCTGTAAGCTTTTGGATGCCATTTTTGCTCTTTGGGGCTTCCATAGATATTAGGGCTTGGATCTTATTAGGGTTTATTCCTCTATTTGTGATCATGAAACCTAGAAACTTTCCTGATGCTACCCCAAAGGCACATTTTGTTGGGTTGAGCTTCATGTTGTATTTCCGTAGCGTGGAAAACACTTCTTTAAGATCGGTGATATAATCATCCACCTATTTACTTTTGACCACCATGTCATCTACGTAAGCCTCAATGGTTTTTCCAATTAAATCAGCAATGACCTTGTTGATTAGCCTCTGATATGTAGCCCCTGCGTTCTTTAAGCCAAATGGCATGGCCTTATAACAATAGATGGCGGAATCTGCCATGAATGAGGTCTTCTCTTGATCTTCTGTGGCCATTGGTATTTGGTGGTACCCTGAGAATGCGTCCAAAAAGCTGTACAATTTGTGACCCGAAGTGCTGTCAACGAGACTATCAATCCGGGGGAGGGGATAGCTATCTTTCGAACATGCTTTGTTCAAATCAGTGAAGTCAATGCAAACTCGCCACTTTCCCTTGGCCTTTTTTACGAGAACTACATTGGCTAGCCAGTCAGGATATTGCACTTCTCGGATGAATTGTGCATTGAGCAGTTTGGCAATCTCTTCTCGTATGACTTCGCGCCGTTCGGGTGCAAACTGTCTTTTCCTTTGTTTGATAGGTTTGGCTCCTGGGTTTACATTGAGCTTGTGTACGGCAACCTGGGGGTCAATTCTGGGCATGTCTTCAATTGTCCATGCGAATACGTCTTGGTTTTGGGAGAGACAACTTATGAGTTTAGCCATGATGGTTGAATCAAG